TGGTCTGCAGCCTCAGTGGAAGAGACGGATTCTCATAGCCACTCTTGCAGTGACAAGAATCCACTGCCCATGTACTACCACAAGTCCCGCTACTATGAGCAGCTTCAGCAAGAGCTGGAAAACCTACAGCCATTCGAGAGCCACCTCCGGGATACTGGTGCAACAAAAGCCACCTACGCCACCTCATTCTTCCACCAGGTGAGGGCAGGGGAAAAAGAGAGGGAAATGTTACATAAAAGGCACAAGAAAAGGAAGGTTTCAGGCTTTGTGGCCTTAGAACAGCAACCAGTAGATTCACTAGGTCCTCTGCCTAGTGAGACTTATTGACTGTGCAGCAATTCTAGGGAGACAACTGAGTCTAAGACTTGCCCCTCTTCTCCTTCCGGTAATATAAATATTCTTCATTTTTGTAGCCACATAGGACCAGATATGGGGACTCTGTGCCCTGGCCAATGAGCAGGTTGTGTGCTGACAGTCTCCACAAGGCCACTGGGAGAAGCTGTGCACTGAGACACATTGCAGAGGCACTGGGCTGGGGCAGCTCAGCAAGGCCCTCATCTTCTCTGCTCTAGGGCTGTGGTTCCCAACCTTTTTACACCGCGGACCGGCAAACCCATTCACAAACTTTTGGCAGACCGGTAACATTTTGTTTGCATATTTGCATCTTTACTATGCAAATAACAAATATGCAAATACAATATTACCAGTCCACCAAAAGTTTGCGAATGGGTTTCCCAGTCTATGGAATAAAAAGCCCTGACCCCCAGAGTCCCACAGTGCCAGCCCTAACCCCTAGAGACTCCCTCCCCTCCACTACCCCCAGCGCCAGCCACTGACCCCAGAGTCCCCTGCATCCAACCCCTGCAGTACCAGCTCCCTACCCCAAACACCTCAGTGGCAGCCTCCCACCCCTTAGAGCTCCTGCGCCAGTCCCCAACAGTAGCCCCAGCTCCAGTACCCTCCAGTGCCAGCCCTGCCCCCATAACCCTCTCACTACTAGCCCCACCTCAAGAGCCTCCCAGTGCCAGCTCGCCCATGCCAGATGCCCCAGTGCCCCCCATCAACCTCCCACCTTTAGAGCCCGCCATCTCTTAGACAACCTCAGTACTAGTCCTGTCCCCAGAACCCCCCCAGTATTAGCTTTGCCCCCAGAGCCTCCCAGTGCCAGCCCCCTGCCTCTTAGAGTCCCCCAACGCCAGAGCCCCCCAGCATTAGCCTCACCCCAGGAAAGCCAATGCCTGCCCTGGCCCCCTAACCTAGCATTGAATTGCCTCCCAGCTGCCAGCTGAGCGCTGCTGCTCTAAGGCTGCCGGCCTGGGCTCTGTCTGGCCCTC